ACCATGTTGCCCAGATTGGTCTCAAATCCTGGCCTCAAGTGATCCACCCACCTCGGCCTCCCAAAGTGCTGGGATTACAGGCATGAGCCACTGTGCCTGGCCTGGTGTCAACTCTTTACAAGACATTAACAAATCTGATTTATTTTTGCTATAATTTTGTTATTGAAGTAGGTATAAACCTAAGGACTTAGATCAAACAAAATCATGCTTTTTATCTTTTTTAAGACAGGGCCTCACTCTGTCGCCCAGGCTAGAGTGCAGTGGCACAATCTCAGCTCACTGCAACCTCTACACCCCCCACTCCCCAGCTCAAGCAATCCTCCCACCCCAGCCTCCTGAGCAGCTGGGATGACAGGAGGGCACTACCATGCTTTACCAATTTTTTAAGGTTGTTGTAGAGATGAAATCGCCCTATGTTGCCCAGCCTGGTCTCAAACTCCTGGGTTCAACCAGTCCTCCCACTTTGGCCTCCCAAAGTGGATTATAGACATGAGCTCATATCTGGGATTATAGATATGAGCCACCACACCCAATCTCTTTCTTTTTTTTAATAAGAAGGATTTTCAGTACCTAACTGATCTCTACCCTCCTTTAATAGGAATCTGTGTTTTGTGGACAATTACAGGTAGGCTTTATTATTCAAGACATGTGTATCCTTGCTACCTATAGAAATTGGAGAGGGTTAGAATAAGTTCTATTATTAATAGTGGGAGTAGCCTGTGCCCTTTTTTTTTTTTTTTTGAGATGGAGTCTCACTGTGTCATCCAGGCTGGGGTGCAGTGGTGCGATCTTGGCTCACTGCAACCTCTGCCTCCCGAGTTCAAGCGATTCTCCTACCTCAGCCTCCTGATTAACTGGGACTATAGGCACCCGCCACCACACCCAGCTAAGTTTTGTATTTTTAGTAGAGATGGGGTTTCACTATATTGACCAGGCTGGTCTCAAACTCCTGATCTTGTGATCCTCCCGCCTCGGCCTCCCAAACTTGTGCCATTTTTTAAGCCAAATAGCATTTTCATAGACTTGATAAGTTTCAAAAATTATTTGCCCGATTATCTAGCCCAATGAAATACTGAATATAAATATATTTTGTTGAACAGTTACGAAATTGGTATGAGATTCTGTACTTGAATATATCTTAACAGGAAACAGGTTAGATATCTGTTAAGGCCAAACAAAGCTGTACTTTTATCCTTGGCAATTCATGTATCAGATTGTTTTGTGGTGCTCATACTTCATTAAAAGCTGTAAGTAGAAACTGCCAGTTTCATAAATGGTCATGAATCACTTGAAAGTTTTTGTAGTTACAGAGGCAGAAAAAAACCTAGAGAGAAAATATTTATACATCATTTAAGTTACATCATACTATTTATTTTTATTTTGTTTTTAATTTTTATTATTTTTTTGAGACAGAGTCTTGCTGTTGCCCAGGCTAGAGTGCAGTGGTGCAATCTCAGCTCGCTGCAACTTCTGCCTCCTGGGCTTAAGCAGTTCTCCTGCCTCAGCTTCCCAGGTAGCTGGGATTACAGGCACGCACCACCATGCCCAGCTAATTTTTGTATTTTTAGTAGAGACAGCGTTTCACCATGTTGGCCAGGCCGGTCTCAAACACCCAACCTCAGGTGATCTGCCCACCTCACCCTTCCAAAGTTCTGGAATTACAGGCTTGAGCCACTGTGCCTGGCCTTAAATTACATATTATTTTATGTATTTAGTTTTTTAGAGATGGAGTCTCACTCTGGCACCTAGGCTGGAGTGCAGTGGCGTGATCTCGGCTCACTACAACCTCTGTGTCCCGGGTTCAAGCAGTTCTCCTGTTGTAGCCTCCTGAGTAGCTGGGACTACAGGCATGCGCCACCACAGCCAGCTAATTTTTGTATTTTTAGTAGAGATGGTGTTTCACTGTTTTGGTCAGGCTGGTCTCAAATTCCTGACCTCAGATAATCCACCTGCCTCGGCCTCCCGAAGTGCTGGGATTACAGGCGTGAGTCACCATGCCCAGCCTACGTCATGTAATTTTATAAAGGAATGGTGGAAAACGAAATATTGTGCTCCAACTGAGGTGTGGCACAGAAAACTAGGGCAACACTTTTAGAAATATCAAGTGTTATTCACTGTTTTAGAATTAATTACATAATTATCTACCAGAACACAAAGATCCCAGGGTATCTTAATGGAAACACTACATTTCCAAATAAAATAATAATAATTATCACCTACTGTATTCAGAGTGCTTTATTAGCTATAATTTTTTAACTCCCCACATCTCTGTGTGTAAATAAACATCGCTAAGGAGATTAATCTTTTCTATACTTTAGAAATAGCAAAACTAAGGCAGAGAAATTGATGTGAATGATAAATTAGGCATTATGGTCTTGAATCATTTAAAGAGGCAGGTATTCAATGGGAACAATAGATGCTAACAAAGTACTAAAATCATTCTTGCAACTATTCATAAATTACTAGTTGGTAATTAATTAAAAGTATTACCTTTCTTCCAAAATGAGTGACCAAATCGATTTAAATTTTGTGGACAATGTCACGGCAGCCTTGAGACTATTGGAAATTCCTAAGATGTGACAGAGCTTGCTTTAGAATCACCATCCCAGGCACATGGTAGCTACATGAAGTTGTATGTCATTAAAACCATTGGATTGGGAGACTGTAGAGATGTAATACATTGAATGTCACAAGAGTTTGATTGGGGGATAAATCTAGGTTTATATACCACATCTTGCCAACAGAACAATGCTTTGTTTTCAGTGGAACAGTAGCAGTTTGTTACTGTTTTCAGTGAAACACTTGCAGTCTGTTAAGATGGCCATGAAAGTGTTAGGTAGAAACTATGGGTCTCCAGGACACTTGATGCCCCTTTATATGACTGTAATCACTAAGGTGAAAACTCCCATTGGAACAGACTGTTATAGAGTCAAGGAAAACTAAAACCATCCCTAAAACAGTGTAGCAAAAAGTCAAGGTGAAATGTGGTGGGTCAGGCACAAGTCATGAGCCTACAAAGTAGAGGGATGTTCTCTGATACAGTGTTCCAGAACTGCAGTCATTAGAGAGAAAAAAAAAAAATGTGTGATTAATGCCCATTTGGGAAGAATCTGAGGCAGAAGGAGGCTAGCCAGCTAAACTTCATTTGGGGAGATAAGTAAGACAAATAGTGACCTTGCAAAGATCCGAAACAGCTCTGCTACAGGGCCATTTGAACAAAAGAATGAACACATTCTAGCCTGACTCTGCCAAGCTACTCTGAAATAGTTGGAAGTGGAGAGAGAAAAGTGCTTTGAGATTTCATCGTAGAAAGATCGTTGGTGAATGGACCAGACATTTAGGTTAGCTCTGCATTTCTTATGCTATTGAATTTATTTTCTCTGGTGAGAATCTCTTTGTCTGATGGCACTCATAGCCTAAGATAATCAATGCACAATACACACGCAGGGTCTGAGTTCATTTGGATAGTATAGTGGGAAGGAATAAAATATTTCTTCTCAGTACAATTTGCTCCCAAAGTTAGAATCATTCACTGTTGGATGATGATGATGATTCGTCTTCCTGATAGACAATTGGAAAAAAATTCCACACTATCTTACATACCCCTGTAGTTGAGGGATAGGGATTTGTTGAGACCATAAAAACTATTTGCTCATTATTCACCTATCCTTGAGAATTGAACCCTTAGCTTCCATTTGAATTAAACTTCTGCTCAACTGATCAGAAGTTCTTTTTGACAGTACAGTACTCAAGGAATGACTGATTATTATACCTAAGAATGAAACAAAAAGACATGCCATAAAAGGTTCAAACTTCACATTAGAGATGCCATAAAAGGTTCAAACTTCAAACCATAAGATCTAATTATAAAATCATCGTTAACAGGAACATAGTTTAGAAAAACTTCTAAATTTATACGAAAATAAAAATAAATATTTAGACTTAGTTGTTATATCTAATCTACATAAGATCAAACTTGTCATGTCACCAGTTTTGAACTGGTGAAAGTACACTTAAAATATGAAAGCTGTATGTTTTTGCATTTCTAAGGGTGGAGAGAAGGCATAGCATTTTATAAATAGTGTGAGATTGAGAAGAACTTTGTAACTTTAATGTTTAATTGTTACTTATATTTATTAGATAAGTATGTTAATATATTTATACATATATATAATATAGTCTTTTATATATTATATATTATACATTATATATAATATATTATACATAAATATATAATCTATAAATATAGAATATATTTTATTATATATAATATATATTTTTTATGTATATGTGTGTGTGTACATATATATAAGCTGGGCAATTCTAAGGAAAATTCAAACCAAAAAACTTGTGGCCAGTTAAATTATCTTTCCAATGAGCTGAAAAAAAACAAATGCTCTTCCTTTGCCTCCCTAGCACCCTCTAGATCTTCCTTTGTGGACAGCATGCCATTCTTCTCTTTTGCCTTTCCGGACTATTGTAATTTAGGTACCCTCCTTTTCCAGCTGCATGGTGAATGGGTTCTTGCTTTTTTCTTCCTCCTCCCAACTTTTGATCCTCTCTGAATACATTTCACAGACGACCATCTTCCAAAATAACAGCATCAATTAATTTTTTAACTTAAAAAAAAAATCTTTAGCCCTGATTCTGCCCTCTCCATTGATGTCTAGCGTGTGTGGAAGAGGCTGTGCAGAGACTGATAAGCCCCCATTTGTGAAGGTGCTTCAGTTCGCAAGGCCTTTGAGGCACTCACAAATGACACTGTTTATTCAGCCAGCCCTGGCTCCTGGTGATTCCATGAGTTGGCCCACACATCTCACAGGGCTCTAATAACTGAGCCACAAGACAGCCGCTGAGCCATGGGAAGCAGACTTTCTTCTGTGCCCGAGACTGGAAATCGGTCTTTGTTTTTGATTTTGAATAGATAACAGTTTGCTCCTTGACGTTTTATCTCAGTTAACTATTAAGGTTTCTCACCACACTTCTGTCCCGTTTTGCAGAATCTGATGACCTCCGAGGGGACCCTGCACTCAGCCATCAAAGTGCTCCTGCCCCACTGGACGCTCATAATTCAATGGTAGATGCAGGTGGAGGTGAGAACATCACCCAGCTTCCCCAGGAGCTTCCTCAGATGATGGCTGCAGGTAAATGCCAGTGGCCAGCACAGGACACAAACAAGGCTTTTTTGAGTTCTTAGTGGAAAACTTGCCCCACCTCGAAAAATATGCATTGAACCAGGAGCCTGGGCCCTTGAAGAAATCAGTCTGTAGAACTAGTAACAATGAAAGAGCACTAAGTCAAATTGGACACATTTTTCTGTTTTGTTTTGGGTTTTCTTAAGCTTTGTGCTACTTGTTTTCAAAGTTTATTTATTTAGAAATCCTTCAGAAAAGTCACTTTAGGTAGACACCTGCATTTTCTTAATGTAATAATGTAAAAGTTTGTAAAGGAGGGAATAGGTTAGGAGGTAACACTTAATAAATTCAGTCAGGACCAGTTCTCCTGCTTGACAACGATTTTCTTATTAGACAGAAGGCCTGCCTGCTCAAGAATTACACCTAGAAACAGTAAGCCAATTAACTTGTTTTACCAAGAGAGTATTACTGCTTTGCCTCTTAGCCTTGTGACTTAACTAATGTTGTTTCACTGGGAGAAAGAAACAATTCTTCAATTTTTTTCCAGGGGTACCTCCTTAATAGCATGCTGTGTATAATATAAACTACATGTCATTAAGTTTTCTCCCAGAAAGTATTTGGAAACACTTTATGTTTATGTCTGGAGAAAACATTGCTGTAGATTATAGTTTTTTATTTTTATGTAGTTTGGGAATGTGCTAAACGAAGCCTCACATCTCTAGAAATGTGATTTTCTTTAAAACAAACACCCTTGCCTATGAACTCTAAATCATGGTTTGTTTTTCCCCACAGCAGCTGATGGTTTGGGGAGTATAGCAATAGACACGACCCAGCTCAACATGTCCGTGACAGATCCCACAGCCTGGGCTACAGCCATGAATAACCTGGGAATGGTTCCCGTGGGGTTGCCTGGACAGCAGCTCGTGTCTGGTAAGCTTTCTTCTGGCTTCAGAGATGCTTGCAGCAGTCCCGAAGGGTGTAGGTGACAGGTGCCTGGTAATCTCTCTGCACTGCCAGTGTTGGACATGGTCTTTTATTTATGACTGGGGCATGTTTGGCAAGTTGTACTTGAGATTCTTTTCCTCATCACCTTTATCTTGTACCTAATAGCTGTTCTCAGAAAAAAACATGCTAACTATTATTGCTATACACAGTCTTGCAACATCAATTGCATTTCTTAAAATTGGTAAATAGAATGGCTAATATTTGTTTTCCAATTTGCAAAACTCATTCACCTATATTATCCCATTTGATTGCACTGTCTTCCCTTTATGATAGGTAGATATTTCTTGTTATTGCTCTTGTTAATGTTTCCATTTTACAAATAGAGAAACAGAAGAGCAGAGTTTAGGTGCCTTTTCCACATTGAAGTGGCAGAGCTATAAACAGCTCAGGTGACACTAAATCCCCTGTATTCTGTACACCACATGGTGGGATCATAATACAATGCAAGCATTCAGTAGAGAAAATGTTTAGAAATATCACAAAGTCCAAAGTCATCTAAAAGATTTAATCATTGAATTTAACAGGTGTTTGCTGAGGATTTTACATGTGCCCTGTAAAAAGTGCTTTGAGAAATAGAATAAATATATATGTATATAAGTGTCTTTGAAGAGCCTTTCTCTCTAAATTGAAAAAAACAAAACACCAACACCTGAAAAATAATGATAAAAATGATGTGTAGAGTCAGGTGTGTTAAGTAGTGGTGCAGACTGGTAATGTATTAATCAGATCAGTCACTGGGGCTTTGAGGAAAGATGTTATCAGGAAACTGGGGCTTGCGCTAAGTCTGGAGAAATGAGTAGGATTTATATACGCGCTCACTCATTCATTCATTCAACAAATATTCATTGAGCCGCTGTCCTGGTGCAAGGGCTCCCGCAGTAAACAAGACAGGTATGGTCTGCCCTCTCAGAATTTATAGTGGAGAGGTGACAACCAGGCATTATGCAGTAGTCATTGTTATAATGGCTGAAGAAAACTTCACTCTTGGCCATCAAGGTAGGTGAGAGTAGACGGTGTTCATTAAGTAGAAACCAATCCCTTTTGGAATGTTGCTGAATTTTACTCCCATATACCTGTGTACTTTATGCTGAGTTGACCAAGCATTTGTTTTTTGTTGTGTTTCTTTTTGGTGAATAGTGGCCATAAATGAAAAGTTGCAAATTAATTATAGTAATATATATGTGTGTGTGTGTATGTGTACATGTGTGTATGTGTGTATGTGTATACATACATACACACACACATATATATGGTTTCTTTTTTAATATAACAAGAAAGAACATGAAAATGGATAAGAGACTAGGGAAAGTAGGAGACAAAGGAAATACAAAGGCTGAGTTTTAAAACATTACATTTAGGATATTTATTAAATTCTTCAAAATGCTATCAAATTCATACAATTGAAGATTAATCTGCTCTAGGGAGCTGGGTATACATAAATGACATTTTCTATGGCTTGAACATGTGTTTATCCCAGGCCCCTTTTCCCTAAAGCTTACCTAGACAGATACTTTCTTCTAATAACTTGAGAGTAAAGATTTCTATTTTTCCACCCAAGTTTCCCCAGTTGCCTAATTGAAATATTCAGAAAGCAGAAGTAAGTTACTCTTGTCTCACCTCCTACTTCTCTCAGAAAATGTTGTACGACTTCTAGAGTAAGCCAAAACCTTCCTAATTCATTATTTTTTTCTTGTGATTTTGAGTCTTCTGACGTTTTCACCGTGACCAATTTACGATTTTCCCAGCAACTTGCCATGAAAAGAATTACAGCCCTACTCGTTATAGAAGATTTACTGTATCTGCCCCGAATTACTTTTTCTATCTCCTGTGTTAGCCAAATTGCTTAAACTGTTTTTGAGCCTTTCAGGGTCTTTCTGGGCTTTCCTTCATCATTTACACAGCCTGATAATTTAACTGCACTTTGCTTTGTTCTCAGGGCTACCAGCCAACTATTTTAACATCTTATCCTAAACAATTTTTTTTTTTTTTTTTTGAGACGGAGTCTCGCTCTGTCGCCCAGGCTGGAGTGCAGTGGCCAGATCTCAGCTCACTGCAAGCTCCGCCTCCCGGGTTCATGCCATTCTCCTGCCTCAGCCTCCCGAGTAGCTGGGACTACAGGCGCCCGCCACCTCGCCCGGCTAGTTTTTTGTATTTTTTAGTAGAGACGGGGGATTCACCGTGTTCGCCAGGATGATCTTGATCTCCTGACCTCGTGAGGTCTCCATCTCCTGACCTCATGACCACCCGTCTTGGCCTCCCAAAGTGCTGGGATTACAGGCTTGAGCCACCGCACCCGGCCATCCTAAACTGTTTTTCCATTGTATTCTTTTATATTAAAAATTTTAAAATAATTCTTCAAATCTCCAGATTACTTAACCATTCTACTATTTATATTTAGGCTGTTTTCATTTTTTCACTGTTAGCTAGCCAAGTTTCCTTAAAGAACTTAGTCTCCCTGAGCATGCAAAAACATCTTACCTTTTCTATAAAATGGTGATCATATCTATTTCATGGAACTGCTGTGAGATTTAAATGGGATAATTTATATAACCTCCATATGGTAAGCATACATTAAATAGTCTTCTTACTCCTTTGTTCTTATTTCTTCCTTTCTCCTTTTTGCTTTTTTTAAAGCAAGTAACATTTTGCTTTAAAACATTGCAGTGGACATTTTTATGGATGGGGCTTTTTAGCTGTTAGAATTATTTCCATTGGATAGGCTCCTACATGTGGAACTAGTAGGTCAAAAAAAATGAGCATTTTCAAGTTTCTTGCTAAGTACTGGTTGATTAATTCCCAAAATATACATATGGACTTAATATTTACTAATTTGATGTGCAAAAATGGCATCCTATTATTTTATCTTAAATTATTCTATAACTACCCTTGGTTATTTCCTTATTCTCCTTCATTTTCTATTCATATTTTCTCTTTTGCAAATAATTATTCTCTGATAAATGGATACTTGGTAATTTTGTTGTTGTTGTTGTTGTTTATATTTGGGCATTTGTTAAACATTTTAATCCTTGGACTTCATATTTCCTGAAAATGTTTATCTAGTCTGGGTTTTGCCTCCTAATGTTAGTTCTTTTTTATGGTTTTTATATTTAATTTTCTGTTTATGAGTTCTTTATTCCATTTCTAAATGCAGAAAGGTTTGCCCACTCTGGAAGTTGTTATATTCCCTATTTTCCATGCCCCCATTGACTTAAATCTGCCTTTTATTGGAAATTAAATTCTTATGCATATTTTTATCTATTTCTGAAGTATCTATTCTGTACTACTGATTTATCTATTTTTATTCAAAGACCACATTGTTTCAGTTCTTATAGTTCTATGGTATGTTTACATGACAGATCTGATGCCCTTTTGACTATATCTGGTGTGCCCCACTATTGTTTATTTTCCACATAGCCACAGAGCCACGGATGCCACTGCTTGCTCAGGTGTCATGCTGGCCACCTCTGGAGTTCTTCACTGTGAATGCAGAATGTTAGAGGCAGCCTTTAATGTTTCAGAAGGGACTTAAAGATTATTTAGTGTAACCTTCCTTCCAAGAAATCCTCTTTAAAACATTTCTGACAGGATTATGGAGAGGGTGGATTTTATGAGTACTTGGCTTTCTCCCAAAGTTTCTGATATTTCTAAATGACCAACCACTCTTCCCATATTTGTTGAAATTAAACTGACACTAAATCGCTTTCCTCACTGCTTCTTCAATTTATTGAGAGATTAAAATTATCAGCAAAGCAAGGCGTAAAATTTTTATATCCTCTGATTTTATCAAAAGGATTTCCCAAGAAATCAAATCCCTCATTACTGTGGTAGCACACCTTTCAGATGTGCTGTCGTGCACTTCCCCAGTGACGCCTCTTCCACTTCCCTCCCCTTTCATCATCACCAAATGTTCCCCACACCGTGATTCTGCTCCCACCTTTATGAATTTCTCTGTTTACCTTCTTCATAGGAAGTGCTACTTGAGATCATTACATTGAATTTGTTCCTTTTATCCCAAATATACCATTATACTGTTATACCCTAATCCTAAATCCCATACTCCAAAGTCCTGGCTGCTCTGTGAGATGATATTTACCTCCATTATTGTTTCTTGTTTGTTGTATTTCCCATACTTTGTTTTGGTTTTGTGAAGTTTTTTTGTTGCCTTTGCCTTTTGTTGTTGTTGTCAATACTGTGTGCATTGGTGTAGATCCAAGTTTTTAAACTAGTCTGTTGGAACATTTGTGTTCCATTGTTGTTGTAAGGTAGAGTGGAGGCATAAGTATTATACTTACGTGGCCTAACAATGATGGCAAACTCTGGGTTAAACACAGATAAATTGCTTTCATTGTGGGTTTTCCCAAGGCCTTTACTATGCTAATGTGCACTAAGTAGTTCTCAAAGAGTGGAATCTACTATGTAGAATTCCTAACTTAATTTAGCCTTTAAAAAATGCCTGCATTAGGACAAATACCTAATGCATGTGGGGCTTAAAACCTAGATGATAGGTACAGCAAACCACCATGGCACATGTAACAAACCTGCACATTCTGTACATGTATCCTGGAACTTAAAGTAAAATTTAAAAATTAATTAAAAAACAAACTTGTGAGCCTCTCATGAGATGCTAAAATATTCACTGTGGACATCCTTCTCCACTACCATCCATCCTTCTGTGCCTCATATGATATCCTCTGCATGATCTAGTTTACAATTTTGTTTGTTTATGTTTGTGCTGAACAGTGTCACTCCCTAATCTCAAATTTCAAAATAACTCTCTTGTGGTCAGGTGTTGCCTGAAACCTTCTTCTCAGTTTTCTGTGGCACACGTTGTCCCTTTTCAGGGGCCCCACCTCTGGTGTCACAAGTTGAAATCTAGGATATCAAATCCTGAGCTTTGGCACCTCTTGTGTGACCAGCTGCTCTCT